TACTGAGGTATAGCTGACAAAAACATTGAAAAATAGGGGCATCTGAGTGGCTCAGTCAGTTGAGCATCCAACTCTTGATTTCAGCTCAGGTCATGATCTCATGTTTCATGGGCTCGAGCCCCACATCAGGATCTGCTCCATGCTCGGTGTGGAGCCTGCTTGGGATTCTGTCTCTCCCTCTGCCTCTCCACTCCTTCCTCTCTCTCTCTCTCCCCCTCTCTGTCAAAATAAATAAACATTTTTTAATATTGAAAAATATTTAATGTGTACAAACATAATGTTTTGATATACATAGTGAAATGATTACTACAATCAGGCTAATTAACATAATCATCACCTGACATAGTTACCACTTTTATTTGTAGTGAAAACATTTAAGATCTACTCTCTTAGCTAATTTCAAATATGCAAAACAGTATTGCTAGCTCTAAGCACTATCTAAGTAGATCCCCAGAACTTATTCATCCTGCATAACTGGATCTTTAATTCATTTCTTTGGGGTATATATTGAGAAGTGGAATTGCTGGATCATACTGAGGAAGCATTCTAGACATTTTTCCCTAATGACCTACTCCTTAATGACCTACTATCTAGTTTTAATATCATAAATATTTTATATATCTGATTTTGTGTTGTATGTATGTCTGCTTTATACACATATAAAGCTTACTCTTTGTATGTAATGCAGGGTTAAAGATGACTGAAGAAAAATTTTAAGTTAAATTCAAAATTAAAAAGCTATCAACATCTAATTTAATGTTACAACTGTAACTTCTAAGTAATTTTAATATAATTTATTCACTTATGTAAATTGTAATTGTCAAATTACACATGCAAAGAAACAATTTATGTAGATGCATAACGATAATAACAATGCAATCAAATCTTAAAATGTCACTCAAAACTGCCATTTCTTTGACAAAAAATTTACAAAATTAATTTTTTAAACTATTTTCAGTAAGCTTAACTTTCAACTTTTCCTTCATACATTAAATATTTGGAGGATGGGCTTGGGGTAGGGTGGTCTGGGAGGTGTCTGTGAGAAGGTGGCATCCTGGGAGTGAAGAATACGTCGTCAGCCAGGAATGGAATCCGAGCCTAAGGCCTGGCACAAGGGAATACAGGGTATGGTGGAAAAATAAGGGAAGGCCAGTGTGCCAGGCAGAAGCAGAAGGAGAAGAGGAAAGGAGGGTTTTATGCAGAGGAAGACCAAGATCTGACTCATGTTGCGAAAGGGTCATTGTTTTAACATCACTCTTAGGCTGAAGACCAAATTCCTCCCATAGGGTCTTAGGAGGTCCTGCACCACTGGGCTGCTGTCCACCACCCAACCTTTTCTAGAACCAGGGAATCTCTCACCAGCTGCCTTCTAACCTGCCAGCCCCTCACCCCCAGTCTTTTGGTTTCTCAAATGGGCCATGCTTTCTCCAACTGCAGGCACATGATGTTGCCCTTGCCTGATTCATTCTCTCCTACCTCTCTTTGCCCAGTAACTCCTCTGACACTGTTCATCTCAGATTCTTCATCACCCTCTCAGAGAACTGCTCTTTGACTTCCCTAACAAAGTCACTTCTCCCTATTCCGTGCCCGTCCAGACTGCAGAACCCTGAACAGAGTTATACTCTGTGTGTTTTCTCCCTAGCCCTTCCCTGCCTCCCTGGAACCTGGAACAGGTCTTAACACATGAAAAGTCCCTAATACTTGTTGGATATATAAATGAATAACTCTGTCACTGCACTTAATATCAGAATTTGCTCATTTACTCACTTGCTACCCATTGGCTCCAACTGTGCACAAAGCCTTGTGCTGGGGACTGAGCATAAAAAGGGGAATGTCATCTTTTTGTCACCTCTTCTACAAACTGGAATCTCTCTGAGGACAGGGGTCATGTCAGAGGTGAATGTGCCACCTGTATCATATTCTATTGGTGGTCCCACCACTCTTTTTATGTAAGCATCTGGGAGTTATGCAGGTCGCTACCACACTCCACATAGGACCATCAGTCCTGCCACTCAAATCTGCCCACACCTGCTGACCTGGCATTCTCAGGCCACAACAATCCCATCTGGACTGGACAATGCAATGCACCAACACCACATGACCATCAATGTTATTTAGCTCAAGGCAAGCATGGCCATGTGTACAATCTTCCTACAATGCTAGGCAGACTCTGCACTTCCTACAATGCAATACTTCTGAATGCAGCATTCAAGGCCCTCCCATCTGTCTTCTGCCTACCTTTCCACACAACACTTGCCATTTTCTGCTTCCATTTTTATATGCCAAAAATAACAAACCCAGGCTTGTTCCCCACCCATGCCATACAGCTTCTTGCCCCAATGCTTTCACCCAGACTGTACCCAGAAAGTGCCTCCCTCACCATCTTTACTGGCTCAGTCCTCCCACTAAGCCTCTGAGATGTAGCTCATGCATTATCTCCTCCAGGGGAATCCCTATCCTCAACTGAACCTTTCTCTCCACCTGTTTCTGTTTCTCTTTACACACATATCATAACATTTACTTGTTTGTCTTTCCTGTGAGCACTTTAGAAACAAAAATGTGTCTTATTTGTCACAGTATTGCCATAGTATTGACTTAGCATAGTTCCTAGTAAGTAATAGGCACTCAGTAACAATTGACAAATTAATCTTGAGTGGATGGATGGGTGGGTGGATAGGAGGATGAATGGGAGGGTGGATGGGCAGATGGATGGGAAATGGATGGGTGAATGTGTGAATAGATGGATGGATGAATGGATAAATGGGTGGATGGGTGGGTGAATGAGTGGATGGATGGGTGGATGAATGGGTGGATAGATGGGTGGATGATGGATGGAAGAGTGGATACATGCATGCAATGCATGGAGGGTGAATGGATGCATGCATGCATTCATGGATAGATGCATGGATGGGTGAATTGATAGGTGGATGAATAGATGGAGAAATGGAAAGAAAGAAAGATATATGTGGCCAGGAGAGACTTTTCTCATAGGGCAGAAACAAACTCTTCTTTCCCTACACTGTTTATTGATCACTACCTTGTAGCAGGCTCTGTATCAGGCACTTAGACAAGTCATCCCATTTGATACTCATAAAAATCCTATCAACTAAATATTATCATCCCTCATTTTACATCTGTGGGAATGAAGGCCCAATGTCACAACTAAAATGGGACAGAACTGTCTCAGGCCTCCAAATCTAGTGCCCTCCCTCTACACCATCCTGAAACAGAAGCACTCTCTTGGACCTCTGAGCCTGATGATTTGCCTTGAAAGAAGGGGAAAACACAGCCTACCAACCTCCTGTTCTGCACATTGGAGAGGCCTTTCTTCATCCCTTGCCCGGAAGACTGAAGTCTAAATCCAAGTGACACTCCCAAGCACATTCTAAATGAGGCTAAAAGTGGAGTAGTGCTCCATCTACTAATGTTTTTCTAAGACAGTGATAACTTACCATCTCAGCACTCCAGGAAGATTTGAGGTAAATATTCCCATACAGAGCCAAGAGTGAGAAGCCAAAATGAACATACAATGTTCATTGTGGGGGTGGGGTGTGGAGGACTTTACAAGCAACTACAAGGGCAAGACTGAGACAGCTCCTCCTAAAGGAGAAAGGAGCCCTCTGGCTAGGAAGGTAAGAGACTTCACTAAGGCCCTACGGGAGCCTCACATAGGAGAAACGAGGAGGGGGATCTACAGACAGGTTGGGCCTCCACTCCAGGAGGAAAGCCAGGTTCCCTGCATGCAATACTTGATCTCTCCCTTCAGTAGATAAAACTGAATTCCCCAAATCATGTGACTTGGTGGTCAGCTGGCCCAAGCTCCTATTCTACAGAGGTAGGCACTGAGTCAGGAAGCAAGAGACACTTGACTGAATTTACAGTGCACTTCAGGGATGGCATCTGTGTGAGGACCCAGGTCTCCTTACGCTAAGGCATGTTGTTTCTCTGTTCCTTGTTTCTTGCCCCTCTCTCTGCCTAAAGTCTGTTCATCAAGGCATACCCATCATTTAGTCATGACCCTTTACTGAACCTCCCCCTGTGTTAAGACCCAATCACATGCTGGGAAGAGTCCTTCCTCCTTCATTACACTACCCTGAGATTTTGATAAAGTTGTGAGCAAAAGGAGTGTATGGGAGGGGGTGAGAGAAGATGGTTTGTTCAGGAGCATTGCCCAGGGTGTAACCCCAGAACTGATCTTTGTTTGCATGATAGAAGCAATATTTGCCTAAATCTGTGACACACATCTCCAAGATAACAGTTGCCTGGACATCTGTCTCTCCAGTCATCTCATAGTCTACTCTTATCAGAATCCCTTTTTTTATACCCTCATTTCCTTTCCAAAGGGTTTCAAGTGGAAACAACATAAAGAACAGCTGAAGTAAACCTTCAAAATTAGAGTTAAAGGTCAAAATATTGGTAAGGGGTGAGATAATCATATTAAAAAATGAGATAAAGGTAAGTTACTACTTAAATTTGGCTTTGAACTTCCTAGAAGCCAAGGTAAAAGGAGAAATGTGATATACTCCATAGCCTTTTTTAAAGATTTTTTAAAATATTAATTCATTTTTGAGAGACAGAGCATGAGCAGAGGAGGGGAGGAGAAAGGGGGGAACAGAGGATCTGAAGCAGGCCCTGTGTAGACAGCAGTGAGCCTGATGAGGGGCTTGAACCCATGAACCATGAGATCATGATCTGAGCTGAAGTCAGACTCTCAACCAACTAAGCCACCCAGGTGCCTCTACTCCATAATTTTTAAGAACTGATAAATGGTAATATAGAATAACTAGTAGGACATGGGCTCTGGGGTCATGGGTGTCATGGATGGGTGGGTGGGTAGGGGGATGAATGGAAGGATGGGTGGGCAGACAGATAAGAAATGGATGGGTGCATGGATGGGTGGATGGGTGGATGAGTGCCTAGGTTCAGAACCTATGTTGATCACCTATCAATGCAGCTTTACCTCAGTTCACATTCAATGCTCAGCCCCTCTGTGCCCACAGGCTGCTCCATCACTGAGGCGGTGACGATCCTAGGGAACAAACTCAGAGATTACCAGGGGCAGTTCAATACCACCCACCTGCTGGCCCTCTGTGACTACTTCCACAACACCTTCATCCGCCACTACAAACTCTACCAGTATGTCCTGGGCCAGGACCAGGAAGTCAACCTGACTGTCAACCACCTGGAAGTATGTGCACCGCCCCAGCCCCTCCCGCTGGCCAAGGGCATGGACAAGGACATCTGGCAGCTTGAGCAGCAGATGGCGGAGCTCCATATGGCTGAGGTGCAGAAACGCACAAATGTACTGCTCCTGAAGGAGGCGCTGCACCTGGAGCAGGAGCACAAGCTACAGAAAACGTTCTCTGAGGTGTCTGAGCAGCCCAGCCGGGTTCTAAAGAGGGAGGTAAGGCTGGACCCATGAAGTGGGAGGATGCTCACCTACCATATACAAATGCACATTCCTACCAAGAGCACATCAAAGCTGGAGTCAGACTCACAGACAGGACTCCATGGTCTGCACACATGGAACGGGGCAGAAGGGGACAGTCACTGAGCTTTGGCCACAGGCTTTGCATGCATGTTTCACAAAACATCTCTGTGAGGTATAATTCTTGTCCCCATGTTAGTAATGAGACAACTGAGGCTCAGAAAATTTAATCCATTTGCCCAAGGTCACCAAGCTAGCAAGTAGAATTGTTTACATTTGGACTGAGGCCTGGTGGATCCCAATGTCTAATGAAGAGCCCAGGATCTGAACCACCACAGATGGTCTCAGTGCCCTTCATCTACTTGCAGAGCTGGCATCCATTGAGGCCTGGGGGTGGGGGAAGATGACGAAGGAAGGTCCATTGGGGACAGCCCAATGTGGGTGATATGCTGAGGTAGGCAAAAGGGTGGGGCTAGTGGTCCAGGGAGAACCTAGAAGAGTCTGGCATGGATAGAAGAAATCGGGCTGCCCTCTTGACCAGTCTTAAGGCCACAGAGGCTCGAGGAGCCAGAGTCTCAACGACCAGCTCTTTACTAAATGGTGACTATCTTGGCCCCAGGGCAATCAACTTCTTAAGGGCCTGGAAGAGTCCAAATTTATTTTTTCACTAAACATAGGCACTAATATCATCATTGTTGCATTATCTTTGAACACAGAGACAAGTATTGCATACGTGTACACATGAGGGCGTATGTTGGTATATGCTGGGGTGGGGGTGGAGAGTCACAGGGCCTGTGTGTTTCAAAGTCAGCTAAAGAGTGAACAGCCCTGTGAATTATAACATGGGGAAAATCTCTAAAAAGCAATTAACACAATAGAATAAATGATACTCTTCTAAGGTTAAGTCAAGTCTCCCAGAGAAATAGCACATTGGGCTGCCAGGTAATCTTAGTGCAGTAAGATGTCCAGCAAAGAAAGACCCAACAGAACCTAGACAACAGGGACTCCTGGGTGGCTCAGGCAGTTGAGTGTCCATCTGACTCTTGATTTCAGCTTGGATCATGATCCCAGGGTCATGGGATCGAGCCCTGCGTATGGCTCTGTGCTGAGCATGTAGCCTGCTTAAGATTCTCTCTCTCTGCCACTCTCTCTCTCTCTCTCTCTCTCTCCCTCCATCCCTCTTCCCTTCCCTTGCTTGTGCTTTCTATCAAAAAATATTTTTAAAGAAAAAAAGAACTTAAGCAATAACCTGTCTCCTCTGGGGGACCTTGCTCTAGAACATGTGGACAAGGCAATGGATGGGAGGTGTTGCCTTCCCTCCCACTCCTGCTGTCCTTCCCTGCCCCTCCCAGGTCCTCTTCCAGCCCCCATTACTTTGCTGCTGGTCCCTGCCTGGTGGAGCTCGTGGACTAGAGTCCCTTCCACTGTGTGCCCCTGATTGTGTGCCAGAGGTGGGGACACTGAACACCATAGGATAAACACAGTACATCCTCTTGGAGCACAGTCTTCCCCAAGGACTTAGGGGAAGAACATTATTTTTATATAAAACAACCAAGGAGATATTCTGGGGCAAATATAAGATTTTACACTAGGTTTTAGTTAAAATAAGAGATCTCAAAGAAATGTCTTCTAGGCATCAGCTACTCTAAGTATGTCCCCTGACACCCTCAAGACAAGCACAAACTCTCCTCTGCTGTTTGGTTCCTCAAACAAGAAATTTGGAGACACACAGTTACATGGTCCATGTCTCCAGGATTCCATGGTGCCATAATACTGACTGAGATGACAGACAGGGTCTCATTTTAACATGGCAGATGGTGACTGAGTTTCCATTCTTTCCATGGCTGGCTGGCTGGAGGACATTTCCACTCTCTGAGCAACTTGCACTGTCCCTTCTGACAGTGCTGCTACTAGGCTGCTACTAGAACTTTGAGATGTAAAAATGAGATGAGGGCAGGAGGGGAAGGAAGGGGGATGATATCCAAATGGAAAGTTCATTGGCCAGAAGATAGGAGAAGATGGGACTAGCCTGTGGGCCCAGAACAATGTTAGTAGTCAATGACACAGTCCAACAGGGTTGTTGCCACAGTAGGCCTGATGGGAGAAGGAAAGAAACAGTCATTGGAATCCAAAAAGAGAGCTGTAGGAGAGGGCTGTGGGTTAGGAGGCTGTAGGCAGAGGGTTAGAGTCATGGCCAATCTACAGTGGATCCTGAAGGAGGTGAGAGACTTCATTCTCTTCCCAGGCTCAGATCTCCTGCCAGTACCTCCCATTGGCTGAACTCAACTTAAAACCATAGGTCAAGGTAGCTGGTTGAGGCAGCCCTTATAAGTTAGCCTCTCAGAGCACAGAGTAGGGGTGATAAGGGTGACCAAGAGATCTGGTGGGGGAAATGTAAGGTTTAGAACACAGAAAAAAGAGTGGATGTGTTCAGAATTGGATATCTGCAGATAGCCTCAGTCTCTCCAGAGTTCTGATCACCAGCCATGTTCTATTTCTTCCAGGAGTTAGAAAAGCTCATTGATGAGGTCATTCACATTCAGACTGAATGCCTGAAGGAGCTGCTGCAATATGAGATACAGATAACTTTTGATATTTTGGACCTGAAACTTCAGAAGACTTTGAACCTCAATGCTCCTATCCCTTCCCCCCTCTCTATCACTGGCCAGCCAGACCAAGATGAATCTCTTAAGTTCTACAAAACAAACAAAGGAAAGAAAGCAAAAGCAAAGAAGAAGTAGAGAGCTCCTGGTGTCCACTGACTAAAGACTATGATTGAGGAAAAGCCATTGACAATTATGAAAGTATTATGTGATGTGCTCAGCACCCAGTAGATCGGAGCTTTCTAGTGATTCAAATAAATAAAATGGCAGTCATCATATCTCCTCTCTCTTCTTTCTGAAAACCACCTTCTACCCCCTGAAAATCCAACCCAAATGAATTTTCCCTGCATCTTGGAAGAAAGCTGTCTTTCTCTGCTAAGCACAGAGTTTATGCTCAGACAGGCAAACATCACTTGTTGACTAAGGCTGAGCTTAGACACTAAAGACAGAACTACCACCAGTGGGTTTAAATGGATAAGGGTGAGGGTGACACCAGACACCAGGAAAGACTTCCAGCTAACAAAGTGGTTCTCTGGCTAGTGTGGGAACAGGTCCTGGGATTCTGTTTCCTTTCTGCAATTTGTACAATAGGATTGACCTCCTGCAGCCTAATTCATGTGTTGGTCTCCCTGCTAGAAGACCTAGAGCTGCCTAGAGCCTATAGAAAACTCTTCCTTTTGTGAGGACCTACATTGCTTAGACTGAGGCAGGGGAACCAGCGCTGCCTGAGAGGCCAGAAACCTGGTTGGGAGCACAGCTCTGCCTCTGGTCTGCTGTGTGACCTTGCCCATGTCCCTTCTGTCTCTGGACCTCAGCTCTCTATCTGTGTCAGGTGAGGGCATTGCTGGCTGGTATCTAAAGTCTCTCTCTCATTCTAACCCTGGGAGGTCCCATCTCCCCTAGAAGAGAGATGAAGCAAAGTTGGCTATACTCATTTTTCAAGGAGCTCAAGGTTCAAAGAAGTCAAGTACCTATCTCAAAGTCACACAAGATGCAATGAGAGAATCACGACTAGAACTCGGGTACCTGGATTCTTATTTCTGTGCTGCTTCCCCTACAGCCTCATGCCTCATCCACACAGTGGCACAAATCCTGTAGTAGTCAGCTTATCACAGCTGTGTAACTGACAGGGGACTGTGGCCCCCAGGATTAAGACAGAAGAGACATTACCACTCACTGATTCTTCCCAGGCCAGCGGTCTGCTCTCCCACCTCTGTGGTCTGCCCTATTTATTTGCTGATGATGGGATGGGCCACAGTGGATCACACCCATCATCTCACCATTGCCACTGCTGCCTTCTGGGTCTTGCCATCCAAAGTGTGCCTGGCTCCATGTGTTTCCATGCAGTCAGCCTGCTCTTGGAGGTCAAGCTGGATTCAGGTAGAGAGAGGGAGCCCCAGAGCAGGCATGTCACTGGCCTGGAGCACCTTCTGAGAGAAGTCCAGGAGACAGGTGTGCCCCAGCTGAGAAGGCGCCTCACAAGGAGCACTGCCCCACTCTTTTCCATCTTACGTTGAGGCCACTGGGAGTGTGCCTTATATCAGAAATACAGTAAGCTTTCCCAGACCTCTTTGGACAGAGGAAGGAGGTTCCAGGTTCTTCTTAAATTTCCATCCCTTCACTCACTCACTTATTCATGTATTCATATTTCACATTTTTTTTAAACATCCACATCTACTATGTGACTGAAACCACTATGACCTAGAGGGAAATATGAGAGCTGCCATCTTATCCTGCCCAGGCCTGACCAGAATTGCAAAACACTCCTGCAGCCTGTGTGGATGAGGTATGTGTGTGTGTGTGTGTGTGTGCATGTGTGTGTGCGTGCACACCCACATGTGCATGCGTGGGTGTATGTATGCTTAAAATATGTGTGTGTGTGCGTGTATGTGTGTGTGAGTATGTATGTGTGTTTGGGGGGAGGGGGAAGGGGCAGATGGGCACTCTTCCAGGCCGTATGCTGGAGACAGTGCTGGAGCAGGAGAGAATCAGGTACCCTGGCCAGCCTGGGAAGAAGCTTTGCTGAGAGTACTGTTAGAGTATCCAGAAGATGCTGGAAGCAGTGGTCAACACTAGGCTGGGTCAATCCGGTATAAAAGGATTAATATCTCCCTCTTGCCTTGCCTTTCTCCCAAGTCAAAGGGGGTTGTTCAACCATCCCATCCACACCCAATGTCCCAGGCTTGTCCTGCCAATGCCCCAACCGACCCTCAGGACCCCTGAAGCTTTGAACCTTTTCAGTTTCTGGCCACTCAGACCCTGAGCTGTTGACAGGGTTCTATTGGTGTTGTTGCCCCCATTGGACTTGGACCTTCCCCAGCTCTCCTGCCAAGAGAGCCCCTAGTCACCACCCCCATTGGTGGACCCACAGATTGGCCAAGGGTCTTCCTCCCAGCAATAGTCAGGCCCCTAGCAAAGAGATGGGAGCCATAAGAGTTTCCTGTAGTGGCTGTGAAGGGGGAAGAAGTGGTTCTTAGAGACTTGTGTCCACACAGTGAGTCTGTAGGGCCCTCCTTTGCCCTCAGGGGCAGCTCTTCTCCTTAACCTGGAAGGGTTGGCATCACAGCTAGCATTTCAGCCACACATTAGATGTAGATGTTAAAAAAGTATTTGGGGGGTGGGACACCTGGGTGTCAGTTAAGCATCCGGCCATTGGTTTCAGCTCAGGTCATGATCTTGTCATTCATGGGTTCAAGCCCCAAGTCGGGCTCCATGCTAACAGTGTGAAGTCTGCTTGAAATTCTCTCTCTCTCTCCCTCTTTCTCTGCCCCTCCCCCACATTCTCTCTCTCTCTCTCAAAATAAATAAATACACTTTTAAAAAATGTTTTGAGAGTTAAGGAAGAATGAATGAATGAAAATGTTAAGAAAATCCTGGAACTTACTTCCTCTGCCCAAAGAGGTATGGAGAATCTATCTTATCAAACTCCTCAGATACAAAACAATCCTCCTTCCTTCCAAGGCCAAAAGCAGAGTTGTAGCCTCTACCGTATGACAGAGGTAGAAAACTCTCTCCCTGGCCTTCCCTATAGAATCTTCCACGGGCTCAGCCTTGTGCTAGAAGTTTCTGCCTTTAAGAAGCTGTCTCCGATTAGCAGGGAGAAAAACACCCCTATGCCCATCTGACTTCCACAGTCATTTGGTGCCTTCTATTCAAGGACAAGCAGAGGAGGCCTAGAGGTTTGATGTCTGAGAGGGAGGGGACATCCTAAGCAATCCTCCCCCTTCAGCTCCTACTCAAACACACAGAAGTTCTGGTTTAAGTACATGTCTGTTTCATGGGTAGCTGAGTTGTACTTATGAAGGAGGCTGGGACAGGGAAGTCACAAGGGTCAGAAATGAGGAGAGACACCACAACAAGTGGATTTAAGTCTTCCGTGGGGACAAGAGTGCAGGCCTCAGGCCCCATATAGGCCAGGAGTTAAAATTGGGCTTTCTACATCAAGGTAAGAACAGAGAATGGGTGGTCCCATTGGGAAGCCCTTCCCTCCCAGTCACCTAGGAAGCATCACTGAACAGCCTTCGGCAGCAATTCTTGGAGGACCCCAAGTCTGCGGGAGGGCAGAATCCCCATCTTGCCCCCACGCTCATGCAAGTCCTGGTCACTGACACCACACAGATGTGGAAACTCCAAACAGAGAAACGACCCTAAAAACTGAGTTGAGATCAGAGCATCCCTTAGAGCCCAAGGATAAAATACCTATAGGTAGGGTGACCAAATGCTCTGTCATGGATCGTGACTGTTGACCCATATCGTCCTAGTGCCCTGCCTAGTTTGTTATTGTGTAATGGACTCTTCTTAAGAATTGCTTTAAGGGGCGCCTGGGTAGCTCAGTCGGTTAAGCGTCTGAATTCAGCTTAGGTCATGCCCCTGCAGTTTGTGGGTTCAAGCCCCACATTGTGCTCTGTGCTGACAGCTCAGAGCCTGGAGCCTGCTTTGGATTCTGTGTGTCTCTCTCTCTCTGCCCCTCTCCTGCTTTCTCTCTCTCTCTCTCTCTCTCAAAAACAAAATAAAAACATTGTAAAAAAATAATAATTGCTTTAAAAGAAGCCAAGATAGGATTGGTGCCCTTTCACTTGTACTTCTGGCTTCTGCCACAATTGCATCTCTTGGAGTGGGAGTCACATGTGCAGTGAGTGAGTTCTCACTTCAACTCCAGGATACATCTGGAAGACAATGAGGGCTGACCTGCCTCTCCTTCCCAATCCTTTCTTGACTCAGTGCAGCCATCTCAGAGACACTGCGTGCAGCTCTCCTCTAGACGTTGAAATGCACATAGACGCAAGCCACTAAGGAGAGTAATTCCCCCTCTGGAGTGGTGCTAAGATACAGACTCAGTATTTCTGTTCTTGCCAGTTGTGCCGTGCCCTGCAAGGTGCAGGAAACCACAGGCCACCAGGCCCCCCGGGTCAGTGGGGAAAGTCAGGGTGAGAGGTATGATGTGCAGAAGCTAGAAGGCAGTGGTCTTGCTCAAGCCCATAGACAGTAATGGGAGCAGCCTTGCTGCGGCAACTTGTCCACATTCTGTGCAGTATAAACCTAGAACTATTTATTTTAGTGTTTGCTATGGTGTTTTCATTTTACAATAAACCTTCAGTAGCAATAAGTTCAACAAAAAAGAAACTGCATGAGTAATGGAAATGTAAATATATTTTTTCAATAAAGTTAACGATAAAACTGTAACATGCACAAAATGGTTATCAGCATTTACCATCTTCCCAGAGAACCGTGGTGATAGCACTGACTACATAAAAAGCAGGACACAGATCTGCTCCAGAAGCATCAGCATCTACCTCCAAGGTCATCAGTGATTTTAAGAACACTGTCTAAATCCTGGTCAAATGTTACTCTGGTGTGTGTCAGAGCATTCTTGAATGAGACTAATATTTGAATTAGCAGACTAAATAAAGTAGATTGTTCTCCTTAATGTGGGTGAGCCTCATCCAATCAGTTGAAGGCCTGAATAAAATAAAATGCTGCCTTCTCCCCAAGTAAGAGAGAATTCTCCCTGCCTGGAAGCATTTGAAATGGACCGTGAGCTCTTCCTGTTTCTACAGCAGCCTGCCAGCCTGAGACATCAACTGTGAAGATTTTGGACTTGCCAGGCTCCATAGCCATGCAAGCCAACTCCTTATCATACAACTCTTAAATAAATATATATAATCTTCTATCGATTGGCTGTGTTTTTCTGGACAACGCTGCCAATACATTTGTCAATTCCAAGTTTTCTTGCACACATGCTAGGAGTGAAGTGATAGCTGTTTACCTGATAACCACC